CCGAGCAGGGAGCCCGATGCGGGACTCGATCTCGGGACTCCAGGATCGTGACCTGAGCCGAAGGCAGTCGCTTAACCAACTGAGCCACCCAGGCGCCCCTCTGAAAACAATTTTATGTCTTCACTATGTAGTAGGCCAATACTCCTATGAAGTGGGTTCTATTACAATTTCTATTTTAGAAGTGAGTAATCAAATTTTAGAAGTTTTAAAAAAGTGACTTAGCCATTGTCATACACCTGGTAAATCATACAGCCATGATTCAAACTAGGATGGCCTAATGGCAAGCTCGATCTCTTTATAACCATACAAGCCATCATTAGCAATTTATATAATAAGTCTTCCCTCATTCATGTAGCATTCATTTTAGAGTTCTAGGTTTCTAGATGAGGAAATGGACAATTGGGATGAAAAAGTAGAAGCAGGGAGAGTGGTAATGAGGCTACCAAAATTATCCAGCCAAACAGTGACAGCTAGGATTTAAGGAGATGAATAAAAACGGAAAGAACAGTAAGATGGAAGATGTAGTGCAGCCTGACTCACCAATGGGCTGGAAGTAGGGGTTGGGAAAAAGAGTGGAATCAAGGATGAAGGCTATGTCCTCGCAATGAAGAAGGTGAAGATGGTACAATATTTACTGAAATGAAGAAGGAACATGTTTTATTCTTGTCCTTCTCTGGTGGGGGCTAGTCACGAATCAAGAGCACTCTTTTGAACATGTTAATTTTGAGACACATAAATGGAGATATAGTGAGCATCTGAATATTCAAATCCAGAGTTCAAAAGAGGATGTCAGAGCTGGAGGTATAAATGCACAGTCCTTTACATGTAACTACCTGGGAAGAGAATATGGACAGGAAAGAAGAAGGGGGCCCAAGACTAAGTCTTAGGGTACTCCATCATTTATTTGGGTTGAGAAACAAAGATTAGAGAAAGAGACCAATGAAGTAGGTATGTCACAGAAGCTAAAGTGTTTAAGGAAGAGGGCTAAAATGAAAGCCTCTGAATGGCTGTGTATGATGAAGACAGAGAGATGATTATTGGACATAGCCATGAGGCTGATAACCTTCACAAGAATCATTTCAATGAAACAGAGGATATAAAATCCCACTGAGACAGAGGGGTTGGAACTTCATTGCAGGGGATTGAGAAAAGAATGCAAGATGGGGAAGTAAAGAGTGAATACAGACAATTCTTTTGATCTAGGGAATGGGAATAGAAAAATAAGCAGAGAAGTTTATTTAATTGGGTAATACTAGAAGATAAATTTCAATGCAAACAATTTTTAGAGTTTCAAGAACCTTTCACACTGAAGCAATATTTGATTTTCTGGTTTTGAAGATTTATATATGACAGAAAGAATTCCCTTTAAGTTCTTCACAATACATATCTTATTTTACACACAATATACAAATTATTGTAAGGCAGACAACATCACTAAAGTTCTTACCTCTCTAGTTTGATGTTCATTGATAGGCTGGAATCGAGGTACAACCTTAAGTTGCTGTTCTAGTTTCTGTATTTCCTGTTGGAATACATCTCTTTCATGTTCTCTATCAATGGCTTGCTCCTGAAGTATAAATAACAGTAATAGTAACAGATGAAACAATACATATTGAAGCTATTATTTCTGCTACTTCCCTTTAGTTATACATATAGCTTTATTTGAAGACAAACAACTGATAACCACAGAATACCCCACACCAAAAGGTTTAAAAAGATAACACCTTTTGTATGGTATCTAGCCCATTTGAGCTCTTTGACTAAAATTTATGCATTTAAATATTATTTGAAGCACATTTTAAAAAATTCAAGTAATGTTAAATATCGACTGAAATAAAAATATTATCCCAAAAATGAGTTTACTTTTTTGGAACAAAAGAGGAATTCCATTGTTAATTTAGTCAATAAAAAAAAATAAGCAAAACAGATTATTTAGTAAATCAATTTCTTTCATCCTAATCTAGGTTTCGTATCTAAAATTATAAAATGTGTCAGAATCTGATTCCCTGATCTATGAATATATCAGAATATCAGGCCTTAAATGAAACCCCAAAGAAGAAAATCCATGTGAAATTAGAGACTTAATGTCATTTTGGAAGAGAGTAACGACAGCATAACAACTGTCCCAGTCCCCTGTTTCCCAAAGCACACCGTTACTGTGTATATCTTTTGTGGGTGAAATAGTGTTGGCCAGTTAGCTATTAGGATCCTCACCCTGCTTTGGCAGTTGGTTGAAGAAAAGACTTGGACAAGCTTCTTAACTCTGAATTTGGAAAGGCTAACTGGTAGGGTTTATTTGTAATCTGCTTATATCGCCTTTAAAAAGCTGTGATAGGTGAACAATAAAAATTATTAGAGTTTTTATTTGGAATAGTACTTTTCAGTTAATTGTAGAAAACACATATAGATGAAAATGCTAGAATTCAAGAGTCTCTTCATAATTTAAAAGTCACAACCTAGAGTAGCAGCAAGTAAGCATTCCACTGAGAAAATCAATATTCAAGTTGAGAATACTTACATCTAAAAATTTTCTCATTTTTTCTAATTGCTTTTCCAGTGCTTGGTTTTGCTGTCGTAAATCCATAAGCTCAGCATTTTTTTCTTGTTCCAGCTCTATAAACCTACTGACTTGTTCCTCAACATCTATTTCTAGAGCTTTCACTTGTTTTTGAAGGTCATCACGCACTTTTTCAGCTTGGCACTGTACTTCTAGTTTTTCCTTCATTAGTTTTTCTGTCTCCTGTAGTAATTCTGTTTACAAATATAAAAATATTCTAAGTTAAATCATAATTAATAATAGTGAAATCACCTATAACTATGCTCAAATTTTACCTTCATGAAATAAGAGATCTGAGTTTTATTTCAAACTCATGTAAAAAAGGAAAATGTTCCTGTGAAAATATCAAAATATCATATTCCTATATAAGTAAGCAAGCTAGTATCAAAAACTTACACTGTATTAACAAAAAGAATCATCTTGTCACTAAAAACAATACTTTGTGAAAATGCCATAGCAAATGATCAAAAAAAAAAATAAATCCACTTTCATTATAAGGAAAAGAACAAAGTCTAATTAAATTTAAGCACAGAAATAACTCACCTCAGGCAAAAATCAAACCAATAAAATCACTTTTATATGCTTACACAATACACATGAAGATCAAATCCTGTAAATTTTTAACCAAGGCAAGTAAGAGTCACAGAAAAAAAATATAACTACAATCAGAATTTCCTGTTAGTCTTTCTCCTTATTAGATCCATATTCCTGAGTTAGTCTTGCATGCTCATACATATATGTATCAAGAAAAAACTGAGAAGTATGAGAGGCAGTATGGTGTAGTGCTTAAGAGCAGAGACTGTGGACTCAAATCCTAGCTCTGCCGTGTATTTCCTATGTGAAACTCAATACGATGTCCTCCAATTTCCATATATGTAAACTGGGGATAGTAACAGTAGTGAGCTCTAACAGTTATATGGATCAAATGAGTTAATATACATAAAGAATAGTGCCTAGAGTATGGTAAGCACTATGTAAGTGTTAGCTATTATTAATATTAATAATACAATTATTAAGTATAAATAGCAAAGTAAAACAATTCTCTAATGAAAAAATAAAGGAACACAGCCTGAGAGTCTTTACACTAACCAGTCTGCCAACACTGTACTCAGGACTAGGAATCTAGAGAAAATAGCTTTTCCTTTTAAAACAATACTGATTTAGACGTTAATATAAAAGTAAATGAACCAGAGTCTCCTTACTAAATTTCATTGATCCTATTGTTACCATCATCTTATATTTCCTGGTTTAGAAAGAGCATTTTGAAAAGTTATAGGCTATAGGAGTTTAATGTATTTGTTTCTGTAAAAATTGAAATGGTCTTAAGCTCTGTGGAAAAACAGATATAAGATGATGATCACTATGAATCTCAGTTGTTAATTTCAAATATAAATATGTATTTTGTTGTAAGTAAAGTTTTTTGTTAAAGAGAAAAACCGTTAAGTATGAAACACAACAGCAAAATTAGAGGTACGTTAGTTGGAAAAGTAGAGGTATGTGACTGAAAATTCAAGGGTCACCCAATATTTGCAGTTGTAAGTTTACCACCCAAAGACTGGCCATGCAACTGTATAAACACACCTGCTCCAGGTGCTGCATCGACTGCAGCATCTACTAGTCCTATAAGAATAGAAAGAAAACACACACATACAGAACAAAGATATAATTTACATGTCTATTTCCTAAAATAGGATAATACGTACACAAAAGAATTAGAAGTAAAACTTGACACCATTGATAACATTTTGATGTCCCAGTATTTCTTGAATATTTTACATGTATGATCTATATATGCTTTGCACATTAAAAAGTCCAACTCTAAACCCGTTTTAAACAAATTTGAGCATCAGAAACAACCATACCATATTACAAAAATGTATGCTATATTTCTAAATTGGTAAAATTCAACCACTGAAACTACACATTTATAAAAGTGAGAGGATATGATCAAAAGGATTTAAAGTTCCACTGTTATAATGACAGGCATTTTTTACTGCCAAAAAAACTAAGATATCACACCTAATTTCTCATTTAAGAAAAGATTAAAGGTTATTTATAAATTGTATATTCTTTGAACTCCTACACAGATTAAACCAGATGTCAGCCTGCTTCTAACAGTCACTGACCTTTTCAAATCTATTCTCTTGCAGGCCGAAATCTACCCCCCTACCTGCTTGCTGGGAGTGCTGGATCAGTGCTCTTAGTTATTTATTCCAAGTATACATTTTTGCTGCCTTTCTGCTATTAAAAGTACTTAATCTTACATGGTTTAAAAAATATCCTGCCTCATTATATGTAGCTTTCTTTTAAGGGAGAAGTTCAAGAATAAAGGATTATCTTTTCCAGTTAAAATCTGCCAAAGTAAAAAAAGAAAAAAAACAAAACACCCCTGACTCTACATGGTTGGCTAATGAACATTTACCAGAGAGGTAGATTTTCTTGTAATTTTTCAATCCCCATATAAAATACACAAACAAAGGCAATGAAAGAGGAAAAGAGCCACCTTGAACTTTTAAGGAATGTTTCATATACAAAGTCCAAAAATACATACGTTGTTCAACTGGGCCTGCCTCTGCTTTCATAGCTTCTTTCTGTCTGGACAGTAATTCTCTTTCTTCTTGGATCTGCTGTTGCTCTGCTTCCAACTCTTGTAATCTACTACCTGCACATAACAATTCCTGCTCAAGACGATCTATTATATCAGTTTTTTCCTGAATTTGCCTTTCAAAAAGAGTTTTTTCATCTGCATAGCCATCAATGACACCTATAAGATAAAATTAACAGGGAATGGGATTATAACTTATTTCAAATCTTACCATTTGGTGTTATATAAATAATAAAAGGTGTACTGTTAGCAAAACTTCATTCCAGCATTTTAAATGTTTTGAATGAATCTGCTGCTGCTGATAGTAGGTACGTTCAAAGCAATCTTTTTCTTGTTAACCTTTGTGCCTAAATCTGAAGTTCCTTTGAACTTTCCATTATTTTGCTATACTAATGTATTGCATCATGTAGGTGTAACTCACTTTATTACACAGATATAAATAGGTTTCTGGAAAGCTTAATATAAATCAGATGCTTCTGAACCAAATCACATTTTAAATATACTAGAGAAAGCTGATATTTTAAGTGATTCTAGAAGGCCAAAACCCACAACAGTATGGCAGAATATAAACAGCATGAGGCTTTCGAGGCATAAAGCATGGCATCACCATTTAATGGTGGCCTTGAACAATTTATTAACATCTCTTAGCGTCAGTCTTTTCATCACTAAATTACAAGACTTGCTTTAGGAATGTGGGATTATGGTAACAAATCACTATCATTTATTTCTTTTTCTTTTTTAAGATTTCATTTATTTATTTGACAGAGAGACACAGTGAAAGAGGGAACACAAGCAGGGGGAGTGGGAGAGGGAGAAGCAGGCTTCCCGCGGAGCAGGGAGCCCAATGTGGGGCTCGATCCCAGAACCTTGGGATCATGACCTGAGCCAAAGGCAGACGCTTAATGACTGAGCCACCCAGGTGCCCACTATCATTTATTTCTATATTTTCCAAAACTTTCAATGCGCTCTGTAATTCTATTAAATTCTTTCTTTTTTTTTTTTTTTTTTTACAGATTTTACCTACTTGACAGAGAGAGAGAGAGCACAAGTAGGTAAAGCGGCAGAGGGAGAGGGAGAAGCAGACTCCCCGCTAAGCAGAGAGGCCATGTGGGGCTGGATCCCAGAACTCTGGGATCATGACTTGAGCTGAAGGCAGACGCTTAATTAACCGACTGAGCCACCCAGGCGCTCCTCTATTAAATTCTTTCTAATAATTAAAAATATATACAGTTCTTAAAATTGCCTGGAGAAATTCTGAAGATCGACTACAACTACGTTTCAGTGGTCACTCTAAATTAGAGTAGATTGGTAATGTCCAAATCTGGCTTGCATCAAAAATCTCTATTTTTAAACTTGAAATTTTTCCACCCTCAGCTGCCAATGGCAAGTTGCTTACCCTCAGCCTTACTGAGCTCCACAGCCAGCTGTTCTCTGGCCCTGGACTCCTCATGAAGGCGCTCTCGCAGCTCTTCTTGGCACTTAAGGGACTCGGTTACTTCTTGTTTCTGTCGAAATGACTCCCGCATCAACTCTGTCTGTGTAACTTTTGCATGTTCAAGCTAAACAAGGAGGGAAAGCATACATGAAATAAGACAACTGAAGTGTGGGAAGGCCAATGTCATTCCCCACTAAAGCTTAAAAAAAAAAAAAAAGATTTTTAAATAAAAATAAAGGCATACTGTTGAACTGTAGCCAGTTAATATTTCTAGTGCATGCTAACATTAGTAGTTGGAAAAAGTCACTATACAAGTAGATTAGCTACATACAACTTTACATAAGAGATGTATTCTAATTTTATTAAACAAAAAAAAATGCTTCTTTTGGAAATAAACCACTTCCAACAGTAGCTCTGTATTCTGTCACATAAAGAGAGGTATAAAGTTAATGACACATAGGCTCTGAAAATTCTGAAGAATTTTCTGTAATTGTAGTCTATGAAAAACTTAGTATCTTTTATATTTAACATTTATTATTGATTGTGGACCCCTGCTATACACTATGGAGAACTAATATATGCTTAATGTAATGGCATCAATTAACAAAATCATAGTGGCACAACCAAATGAAATTATTATAACCCATTTTTAACTAAAAACTTTATATTTCTGTCCATCTATGAAACATCTACAGGACTCTCTATGAATATTCAATTTATTTTCAAAACCTTAGAATACAGAGGCATTACCCATAATTACTCATAAATACAGCCTCCTTAATATGCTGTTATTGGCATGACTATATTCTTACACAATTTTTAAAGATGACGGTCAAGGACAGACTCAGGCCAAAGCTCTAAGAAAACAGTGATCACTGTTACCAGCTCCAAGAAATTACAGAAAAGCACTGTTTCTGTCTTAGTTTTCTGAGCTTCTGACGGCCAGCATCTCCTTATCCGTTTTTATTTTTATTTTAAAAGAGAGCATGTGAGCGAGCATGGGGGTGTGGGGAGGCAGAGAGAAAGGGAGAGAAAATCTTAACCAGGCTCTACACCCAGCGCATAGCCTGAGGTAGGGCCCCTGAGATCATGACCTGAGCCGAAATCAAGTCGAATGCTTAACCAACTGAGCCACCCAGGCGCCCCTGTTTTTTATAGTAAAAAAACATAACCATAAAGAACTAATTTATATATAGCTACTCTTCTGAATTTACAGTCACAGCCTATATTTTTAAAACATATCAACTGCTTCCACATATGTAGGTATGTCACTTTTTTCTGTATATTATAAAATGGTTGGTAAATACATGAAATCTCTAAGAGTTCAAAGCTCTCACTAAAAAAAACAGGAGTTTTTTTTTTTCTTTTTCGAATTTACTGTACAAACACAACAAGGCATTTAGCGTTTACAACAAAATAAATACTTGATTTAGTTAAGAAAATTAAGTTTTTGCTTCTAATGTACTACTTCTTGACAAGATCTAAAGCAACCTTAAAGTGCATTTAAATATGTACCATAAAACCAGAAGAAATAACTTCAGTTTTACAAAACAAAACTAAAAAGTTAGAAGAATCAAATTAGTAAAGCTAGCAAACAAATTTCATTTATTATAGCAAATGGCGCTCATACTTTACTGGAATAAGAGATTCCCTTCAAATGTTCATCTAAATACTCTATACTTTAAAAAGCCTCTTCTAACCCGCTTTGATTTATTCCTAATACGTATAATACCTAATACCTAACAATATGAAATATATAAAAATTTCATATTCAGTATTTCTAAGTAAGTTAAGAAAATTATTACATTAAAAGTAAGTATAAAACATCAATAAACTGTCACTTTAATATAAAAGTTTCAGAGGAGGTAACAAAACTATTCTGAAAACCATCTGGCCTGTTAAATATTAGCTAGTATATTACAATTAAAGCCATGAAAGTCATAAAAAATGCTGAATAACTTGTAGTTATACTGAATAACTTGTAGTGAATCATTCAAAACATACTTACATGTTAAATAAACCTGAAATACTAACTATGCTAAATACCCTTAATTTTTGTAAAATACATTTCACATAAAAAGTAGAAAACAGTATTTCCTCACTGGATCAGTAAGCATATTAAAAATAAGTTCCTTATGAGTTAACAAGAAAATTAAAATTAGAATCCATATTTTCTTTTTCCCTGTCTGGAACTACAGCCAATATACCATATGATTGTAAACATTTCCTAATTGGCTCAATGGACTTAGCTGTTTTAAGTACCACAATGCTCATTCCCTCAAATATAATCATTCCATTTTTACTCAGGATTGGAATCATAAACATATAAAAGCAAGATTGTTAAGGACAAGCAGGATCTTTTTAAACAGCTTGCCTGGCATGGAAAACTGTAATACTATCTCACTCTGCCTTCTGGAATCAAAAACATAGCCAAGTTGGGGCTCTTAGACCAAATTTAGCTCTTCAATATATCAGGATAAATAAGTAGTAACACATGAAACAATAACAAAACAAGATTCTATTCCATTTACCCTTACTAAGGACATCTAAAGTTCATTTTTCATTTATACAGGTTTTTTAACTAAATGTATAAAAAAGTGAAAGTATAAACTAAAAGTATAAGAAATCAAATTTTTTATACTTACTGAATAAGGAGGGGTAGGCAATGAAATTTTAGAAATAAGCTTTAATATGTGCCCATTTCTTTTATGAATAAAATGAAAAATAGAAGTATTAATAATAACAGAGTTATTTTCATCCAAATGTTCACATAGAGGAAAAGGATGTGGTAAAGGCACACGAGATTCAACCTCATAAATGTCTTCATCTTGTTCTTCCAACCATGAGCCGCTGAGTTTGACAGTTGCCAAATAGGTACGGTAAGAATCCATGCTAGTAGATTCAGCTGCCAACTTCCCTCACTTGCTTTAACAGTTTTCCACTACATTAAAAGTTCTTTTTAGTTTATCAAGATAGACCACAGCAGTATGCAAATTTCTTTTTAGTACTATCAAATAAGCATCAATTCATACAAATGAACAACAAAAGAAAAAACACACAGATCTATAAAAAAACTACATTTCTACCAGTCTTCATCAGAAACAAAACAAAAAACAAAGACAACAAAAATAAAAGCAGAAAAACTCCTTTTTAACTAGAATAATTAATTCTTTAAAGAATGGAAGAATGAAAATATAAATATCTAAGTAGCCGAGCCATAAAACTGCTTTCGGTATCAAATATATCTATGGAAATAAGTAAGCCTTCCAAACAGAACCTGGCAGGGAAGGTCAAGTTTGAAATCTCCATAGTAGCAGTCTTGAGAAATGTAGTTGCAACATTATTTCCCTTGTTCTTGCTGCTTCACTCAATTCAAAAGTAAAAGCTCTTCTGAACTGAGCTATTCAAATAGCCTCTCACCCTGAGCCAAAGGATTCTAGTCACTGTCCCTGGAGGAAAAGGTCAGAACAGAGGGTGTGGTTTCATGTCTTTACCTATAGGTACTGACAGGTGGAATGTGAATTAATACGCCCACAAAAAAGCCTGCCTAACAGGATCCAAGTTCCACGTCAGAGCTTTGAAAAGGGTATTTAGACAAGTTTATAATGTTTCTAAGATAAGCTAGTATTTTTCCATCCTACTAAAAAATTGTTTTAATTTGAAAATGTGAAATCAAGTAGGTTTGAGTCCACATTACCAAAGAGTTCTTAAAGTGTATCAAATAATCATAATTATTTCTGGAAGACTTAGTATTTCCTTTTGATATTTCCTTAAATAATACTCATTCTTTTGAACAGTCACTAGAAGTAAATACAGATAGTTCAGTTATAACCTATTTCCCACAATGAATTGTTTTCAGAGTGAATGTTAAGGGGAAAAAAAAACGCTCTTTAAAAAGCTGCATTATATATAATATGTTTGGTAATTATATATCATTACTTAAGGTATCCTAGGAACTCTGACTAAAACTAAAAAGCGCAAGTTGCATATAATAATCTTCTGGTAGCTCCAGAAATGTTGGCAACACTGAATAAACTAGACACTCAGAATTTTAAAAGATGAACAACTTACTTTTTAACAGCAAAAGATCCTCAAATAAATGAAAGAGCTTTCATTGTGGTGCCTTTTTTGGTCCAGTAACTAAATATCCTAAACCCATAAAACTAAAACCTTTTATCTACTATGGAAAAACCCATACTAAGGCAAGCAGGTGATATCAACAAAAATCTGTTTTATAGCCACTTTCACTACACAAAATTGTTTAAAGGAGTCAACACTCAAAGCCTTCATAATAGGCTAATAATTAGGGAAGAGAAAATGCAATTTTCTATATAAAGCCCAGAATCTACAGGTAGACGCTTGGGGTGGGGGTGGGGGGGACAGCTACCTATTATAATTCTGGATTAGGCAATGACAAATTTCTGTTTATTGTGTTTTTTTTATGTGAGCCCACCAGTTAGTCTATTAATAAGTCTGAATATCTGTACAAAATGGAGGCCTAACCCTACACTGGTTCAGCTAAATATGATTTTTCTGGATCTTTAGCAGATACAAAATCATCCATATCCTAGCTGCTCAGCTTTATGAACTGACAGGATCCATGCTAACCATATCATATAGTTCTCAAAATACTCTTTCCTGGCTCCCTGTGGGAGTTACAGTTTATTTTGATAATCTAGTATCCAATTTCTCTTATTTGAAGCAAAAACAAAATTCTGAGAGTAAGAAGTATCTCTTTATAAAGAGAAACATTCAGGTCAAGGTAAGAATTAACTACAAAGAAAAGAAAAACCTAGGGAGGAGAAAAAGACTCAAAAAAGTAGTAGATTAAGATGATTTAGAATGAGGCAAACAGTCCTTATAAAGGACAACAGTATATTAACTGATGGCATATTATATTGATTCATGTTAAAAAAAGGTGACCCTAAGTTAAAATAATCCAAATTATATTTTCCCATTTTTGAAAGCATGTAAAACTTGTTTCCATCCATGTAAAACCAAAATCTATAGGAGTAGAGTATATCCACTTACAACTAGGAACATAAGTCAAGGTTAAGAAACTAACCACAAAGAAAAGAGAGTAAAATTAGGGAGAGTAAAAAGGACTCAAAATAGCAGTAAAGA